ATTTAGTTTAGTCTTCATCTTGTACCCCCGTGCCCCACTTCCCGCACTGCAGTCCTCTCATTTCACCCCTGTTGTTGGGATGCATTTTTTCATTACTCTTTGTAAAATTCTCAATGACATCACCCTGAGTCCTCAGGCTGCAGCCCTACAGGCCCAGTGCCCTCCCTCTCCCTTGCTATGGAAACAGCGGGAGTGCACCTTGGCTCCCCCCTCTCACCCTCTCTCCTGCCCGCAGTAGGGGCTACATGCCTCTGGAAGGGCAAATTGACACAACCATGAACCGAGCCCCGCCGGGCTCTCGGCATAAAATGTTCACTGCAGCTGTGGAGGGGCACCGCCTGGTCAGCCACTTCCTTCCAGCCGGGCATGAAAGTGCTGTCACCCAGCATCTATCTGGGCGGCTTCTCAGTAGAACTTGCTGGAACTCGTGACCTTGGGGAAGGCTACCCAGCTCGGATCTCCGGCCTTCCATCCCTCAGTGCTGTTGGAGCGAACGCTCGGTGGGGAAGGAGAAGGAAGTCGTGGAAGTTGTTGGAGCTCACACGGGTGTGGACCGTTAGGAAAAAGGAACCGTGCTAAGCATTTTATTATTCTTATTTATTATTCTTATTTAAACAGCATCTGGAAAGATCCAGGGCCTGGCTAGTGGAGTCTGTCTGGACAAGGTTCAGTCCACTCAGTGGGTGTCATGGACACAGTTCTGAAGGGCGGCTCACCCCAGGCCTCGAGACACCCAGAGTGTGTGGTTCTTGGTATCAGAACTTTCTGTGGAGATTTCTGCCTGCTGGTGCGCGGCGCTTTGTCACTATGAGCCCTGACATGGGTTGTATCCCTTAACGTGGACAATAAGCCTCAGAGGCTCAGATTTAACACATGAGCCAACTGAGGCTCAGGGGTAGAGTATCGTGCCTGAGGTCATGGAGTGGTTAGGGACAGCTTTTGATCCTTCATGCTTCTGTTTCTGGATCCCCCAGAATTCTTCTGTTTCCTTCGTGTCTCTCACCGTGACATTTACCATTAATCGTGTGCGCTTGGTCATGCGGCAAGACCAGAGCATGGACATGGGCACAGAGCTGGAAACGCAGGGAATCCAGGACAGGTAAACCCTTGGAGACCCATAATGAACATAGTGATTCCAGGAGGGAAGGGGAAGGTGGGGGGAGAGAAGGGGAACCGATCACTATGATTGACATATAGCCCCCTCCCAGGGGGATGGACAACAGGAAAGTGGGTGTAGGGAGACATCAGTCAGTGTAAGACATGGGGGAAAAAATTATAAATTATTAAGG